CGCTCTCTCCCCTCGTTTTCGGTTATATTCGTTATTTTGTTTGACTTTTGTTCTCTGCGGATATTGTTAGCCAGAAATTGCATTTTTATTCCCGCTCGGTTAAAACTTTCAGCAACTTTTATTTTCCGTGCCCCAAAAAAAGAGAGTGTAAACAACATGCAACAACAAACCACATCCAAAAATGTAGCCTGCATGTGCAATTTTAATTATAAAATCATTTTGACGAGAAAAAAAACCCCGAATATTTATGGTATTTTGTTTGTTCGGAAATAACATTTTTGCTTGAATATAATATATAATCTTGGAAAAATCCGACACGAATCGAGCGTGTGAACCGACATACCACTGACAGTTTTATGATTGTAGAAATTTATTTATAAAAATGCATAAAAAACTGTCATTTGTGTCGCTGCTATGGAAATATTCATTAATTAAAAATACTGAACAAATTAAGAAAAGGAAAAAAAGCAACATAAAAACCAAACAAAAGCAAATTTAAGAAATGTTTTTTTTTTGCAGTGTTGCGAAACACCAAACAGCTACAGTACGTTTTAGAATGTTATGATGATTATAAAGCAAAAATATTAATTATCTCCTTAACTGTGCTCGACTTATAGCTTCGAAACGCACTGTCCACAAAAGGCATTGCCTGGGCCACAAACACAAGACCAGAAAAATATGCACGAAATATGCAAAGAGCTTCACAACAACAAAAACAAATTCAACCGAATAATGAAATTACTTGAGCGCATAATAAACCTTCTTTTTTTGTTTTGTGGCGTTTCGCTTTTGGTTTTGATTTTTTGGGTGTACAAATACACTGCCAAATTGCAAATAATATTTCCAAGGCCAATGGAGTTCAAAACCAAAAATAAAACTCAATAATCAAATATGTACCGGGGACCTGGTGGGGGCTTAAGTGCAGCAATCAACCTGAACCTTAAACGTTTCTTTGCCATTTCTGTTGACAATTTTGTTAAGGCAGAGTCACAGCCAGGTCGAAACCCACACACACACAGACACGGGACGGGACAGACCAGACCGAGAGATCTCATTTGACATTGTTTGCCTGGGTTGACAGACACCCACGCTCGAATATCGTGTGGTAGTGCTCGTATGAATGGTTTTGCATTCATAAATTAGCTGGCAGATACTTAGATATGTGTCGCACTTAGCCACAGTCCCTCACCACGCCCCGCACTTGCCGCTGCTGTTAGCCATGAAATCGTGAGCCAATGCAAATTGTTCTCACAGCTCAAAAAAAAAAAACACAATCAATCAGAGCCCCCCCGATGCGATGCGATCTCTCGCGTTAAGCTGTTGAGCTAAGCTCAGTTTTAATTTGGTTTAAGGTGTCGCTCTGCGCTGTCTCTTGCATATCTTATGAGATGTGTGTGACATTCGATTTGGGGATACGATTTGATGCCGAGGAGGTACTCGCTCGTGTGATTTGGTGTGAGCGCAAGTCTTGCGGAATGGTGTGGGAACACTGTGAATGGTGGTAGTGCTTGTAAGATTTTTCCCCTTTTGTATGAATAATTAAGGTTCTGATTAAAAGTTGCATTGATTATTTTTCCCTCTCACTCTTATCGCCTTGCTCTCATATGATCCTCTCTGAGCGAGTCTCCTTCAGTACGCGTAGTTCTGTGCACATTCAACACATTTCCATCTCACTCGCACTCAAAAATGCCAAGGGCTACGTTCTTATCTACTCGCTTGTACGATCCTCTCTCATTAAATATTTTACTTGATATTCACTTTGATGAGAATTCAATCAAATGCCATTATTGACAGCCCAGAAAATAATCACCTCAATTGATAACTCGCTGCCATCTTTTAACCTGTTAAGTAGAATTCAGAAATTTTCAATCGCAAAATCAAACCACAAAGGCACTTCAAAATGTTCACCCCCACGCATATATACGTTTATGTATATGTAGAATGTGTAATCATTTCTGCCACACTACCCCATCCACTTTGTGTATATTTTATGCCCTACTTGCCTTGCCTTAGGGGCAGCAAGACCCAGAACCCTTGCCAAAAAACAAAGTCGTGGTGCATAAAATTTGACAACTTATGGACGCTCGAGTGGTTCTTCGTTCGGACTCGTACCATCTCTCAAGTGCAGGAAAAAGCAAGCGAAAAAAAAACAGAGAAAATCAAGAAAAAGTGCAGAAGCTAAATTTAAAATTCAAATGTTGCAAAATGTGGCAGCCAAGCGGAGAGGGAGAGAGAGGCAAAGGTTGGGCACCCAGAAGAGATTTCATTCTGTGAAGAAATAAATCAGAATGATGTCATATACAAATTAAACCGATTCCATCCATCCTTTAGCCTTGAGTTTAACTAATAACACTCCATCGGAAAGGTAACCCACTTGGTGGAGCCATACTGTGGGGGCTGAGGTTTATACAAAAATGATAATAATAATAATACTTGAGCACACACGCAAAGTTTTGTGCCAAATTTGGTGGCTCCTCCGCTGCTGTCCCCATAGCCATATATAGAGCTAGAGCGTTGGTTAAGATATACATGCTCGTGTATATAGATACAGATAGAGTCATAAAAGTTGTATCTATGTAAATTATGACTCAAACTGTGTGTGTGGCTTGCATTAGGCGCGGAATGAATGGATATGAAAGATGAAGGCGAACGGAGAATTCTGAGAGTTGCCTTAAAAGCACAAACGACTCGACTTGTTAATGAATCAAATGATCCATTCATTGATAATTGTTACTGCTCTCGTTCGGGGGGTCGCCCACATATGCATATTCTCAGCTCTCTTAGTTCTGAGTTCTTACTGCCCTTAAATGGACAGTCTGTGTGGGGGCAACAACAGGTTGTTCGCTGAGTAAGGGATTTAATTATAGATCTGAGAGACTAAACCTCCAGCGAGACAAAGTTATTAATTAAGCCGCCTGCACAAAATATGGCTTGGAGCTGAGCCGAACCGATGGCTGATTATAGTTATTTATCTAAATGCCGCCTATCAAATAAGCCATTGCCAGAAGTGACTAATTCGATTCGAATGATATGACTTCGTCATCGGTTCGACTCGGCTTGTCGCGGCTCGGCTCGGCTCGGCTCAGCTATGCGAATGCAAATGATTTTACACCAATTTAGCCTCCAGTACGCCGACTCTCGACGAGAGTCTTATTCATCAAATCTGGCTGCACAATCTGCAGTGTGCCTCACATCGCTTCGGTCACGTTGCAGATTGACATTTGCTCGATTAAAACTGACAGCTGTCATGATTGAATGATCTTAAAGCTCTGATCTAATCTGATCTGTTCTGTTCTGTATGGAATGCTCTTCTATGTTGCGTGTCTCCAGTAATTAAACACGGCGGTGGATAAATGGAAAAACTCTACTCAAATGAAAAGCCCATTCAGCATGCGCTCGAGGGGAAAATCTCTACCATTTTCCATCAATATATACATATATATTTCTAAATTTCTGTGCCGCTTTCTGGCGGCGGCTCCCCTCAATTATTCTTCATCTTTTGCTTTTGCCCATTTCTTTATGGGTTCTTTGACCCGAAGAACCCCACGCCGAACTCCGGAATGGAAAACATATTTTATTTTATTTTCCTTTTCTTTTCTTTTCTTTTTTTCTTTGCGGCAACACCGCAAAAAGTAATTTTAAATCTTTGTGCAATTTCTTTTCTGCGTCTTTTCAGGCGTGTGCTTTTTGCTTTTCTTTGTTTGCCACAGCACAGATTTTTTTTCTTAATTTTATTTATGTGACACAGAAAAAAGAGATGCCGAAAGATACTAGATACATTTTGGTATATAAAAAGTTAATTAATTTAAGTGCCAAAAAGTGCTCAAGGCAAAGATGGAAAAATTCACCAGCTCTCAAGCAAGGCCAAGACTGTCAAGGCTGGGTAAAGGATTAAATTCCACACATAAAATTAACACTCTAAAACTTTCTATCAAATGAATTCCGCAAAGGATTATCTGCCAATCACATTGTGTTAGCTTGTCAATGTTAAGTCACTAGTTTTCTATTTAGTGGGACAAGTCAGTGGGGCGTTTAATTGATGTCACTTGTTGTGGCAAAAATCTTGACTCACTTCTATGACATATGCGCGCCTGCCTGGGCCCCCCATGCAGCACACACACAAGCCAACAATTACCGAGTATTTAGTGACAAATTGTCAAGGCACATGCCAAAGACAAACAATGGCAATGCAATTGGGCTTGGGATTATGCAAAAACCAGAATAACAGCAGCAGCAACAGCAGCAGCAGTACAATATGTTTATCATATCAATTCGAGAGGGGCTGTCAACTGGCACAGTTGGGGGTTGTGCAGGCGCAACAACAGCACCCTCAGCAGCATCACCAGAAGTGTGAAATGTAGGGGAGAGACTATGGCTGACCTCAGACCTGCTCTAAGGGGTGGGTGGCGGAGCTAAAAACCATTGAATAGGGAAATGCATGGCATAATTTGTTTAAATATAAACCCAAGTGATTTCATTGGCTACCCACTGCCCAGCCAACCTAATAAATAACAAAAGTAACACTCACTCGCTCACCAACTGAATGGCTGTAGCAAAAACTCATATATTCACACGCCATTTTATTGATGCCCATTTAGTGCATGAATTAAACGTAATTTAATACAACCACTTAGCTAAATGACAAATGGAACTCAGTTCTGGCGAGGCTTGCAATTAAAATTATCAACGCTATTCTGTTTGCTTTGTTTGTTCGCTTTTCATCAGAGAATTTATCTTGATGCATTTTCTTGGACATAGAAGAGTGGCGGCATTTATTGCGCAATTAAGAATATTGTATATATAATGTGTATCCTAATTGATTTTGATATGCTGCCCAACGCTCTATCCTTAATGTGCGTCATAGTTATTTTTTTTTTATTTTTTTTTTTTTGGTGAGCAATAATAAATATCTACCCCAAAGCTTTAAGCTCATATATATTATTTCTCTCCTTTTTGTTCCCTATTAATTTGTAATCTCTATTTTGTTTTGATAATTTCAGAAATTGCACGCGTGCGCGCTTCACTCTTCCAGATCAATGGGGTCAAGAAGGAGCCGCTGACGCTGCCCGAGCCCGAGGGTGCTGTCGTGACGATGAACGAGAAGGTTTATGTGCCAGTTCGTGAACATCCAGATGTAAGTGTGCTGAAATGAATGCTGAATGATAAATAATGATGATCTAATTTATGGATTGACGATCCATTTCGATGGATGGGTTTCCGCTAATTAGAAAAGTGACAACGACAACAGACTAAAAATAGTTGTGGCGGTGTGTGTGTGTGTCTGTGTGTGTTCACTGAGCAACTGGTACACCGGAAATGGCTTTAGGGTGTGCCAATCTCCTACCTACGACACGCGGTATATACTCTACTCTACTCTTCTGCTGTGCGCCGCCTCTGATAGAGTCAGTCGTGTGTTAAACTGTCTTTGAGACAAGACAAGACAACACGCCCCAGCCCAGATGCCAGTTGCCAAATGCAAAGCTGCGTTGCTGTACCCTTGCCACCCATCCCTATATAGCCACTACTATATGGGTTAGATGGCGGAATCATTGAAGCGTTTTAGGAAGTCGTTTGACGGCGCTCAGTCGTTTCATTTCATTTCATTTTATTTACTTGTAGGCGTCATGTCAAAGCCAAGCCAAGCCCCAGGCCCTGCCACATTAGAATTTGATTTAATTTTATGCAATTTAAAATGTTGCGCACTTCGCGCCGGCTTCGTCTTTTGTTTCTCGTTTAATTTGGAAATTGTTTGGGCGTAGTTTCTTGTATTTTTTTCTTGTTTGTTGCTCCCTCTACTTATTTATGGCCTGACAGCAGCAGCAGCAGCAGACGAGGAAATTTATTTTATTGCATGACACACTTTGCTCTTGGATGTATTTTATGTTGATGTTGTTTTCCCTGCTCTCCGCTGGCGATCCAGATACGAGTAGATGCATAAATTTAAATAGCATTAATTAGACTCGAAAGCATTTCAGATCGAGTGCTGCTGTCCGACAGCTGTTCCAATAATTTTCTTGGGCAAATACTTGGCGCCAAAGCAATAGGTTCAGGGTGATACTCTGACCGCCCCAGCACATGGGCCCTGGGATAAGAGAAGCTCAGCTTTTTATTGGCTATTTATGTTCATTGGATATTTTATTGGATTTCGCATACTAGCTTGAAGAGTGAAAATTTTTCGAAGTGTTTCCAAATATTGCTACTGAAAATTTGAGGATGAACACCCCAAGAGGAGACCAAAAGAGAACTCTTCCGATACTGAGATCCAGAAAGGTCTCCCCTGAACCATTCTGAAACAATTCGAATGAAATCAAATGGAGAACAAAGCGAAAAAATAAGAGAGGAGCAGAGAGCGTATAGAGTAGAGCAAACATTAAAAAAAAAAACATATAATTGGGACTTTATTAGGGTGATTCGGACCCATGTCTAATGTGTGTGAGAATGTGTGTACGTTCCCCAAACCAATTCGAAATGAATATGAATGAGTTAAGGTCATAAATTAAAACAGAACATGAATAATTTGAATGAAATACAAGCAAGAGAAGCAAACTTGAGCCAGAGACAACTTTTGATGATGTTTTCTGATGTTTTCCAAATGAAAACTGGCACAGATCTATAGCTTCAATCGGCAAATCTTTACTCCCCCCCTTTCAGGTGTTCAAATCAGTCTATTTTTAAGGCCAAATGGTTGGAAAATTTCCGACGCGCCTCCCCAAAGGTGCGATGTTCGAGTGGTTTTGCGTAGGCGTTTCGAGGCTAATTTCTCTTCGCGTCATAAATCATTTAATTTAATTGCAATCATTTCGAGCAAAATTTGCAATTGGAAAATATCTGACATTTTCCACATTTTCAACGTCGCTCGCTGTAGCGTTTTTGAAATGTATGTTTAAGCAAGATAAATTGCGTTTCAAATAACATGGAAAATGCAACAGACGAAACGAAACATTTTCCCCCACCCATAAACCCATTTGGCCCACCCGAGGATGCCTCGTCATTGGACATAAATTTCAAGGCATTTGGCAAGAGCGAATAATGGCAGTTAATAATTTATACCATACACAATGTAAATAGAGATTTGTCAGAGCGTCATAGAGTGACAGGCGGGGACCAAAACAATACATGTATTCGTAAGCGTATGCCATGTAAATGGACAAACAATTTGTCAACGGGCTTGCCGAATGCCGAATGCAGAGGAGGAGATCATGGATGGAGAGGCGGGCTGGTGTATATTGCAGCTTGTTTGCGACCAAAACATAAATGCAACTTAATTAAAGCAACCAACAGACAGCAGCTAGCAGACAGCAGCTAGCAGAGAGCAGCTAGCCGACAGCAGCTAGCAGACAGCAGCCAGTCCAGAGCCAGTCCAGTGCCAGCGCATTAAAACAGTTTACAATTAATTACAGCCCCACTATTAACGCTCCAAAGTCGTCTATCTCTCTGTTCATCTGTCTGTCTGCTGTCTCTTTCCATTGTATTCTATCCATCTCTCTTTCTTGTGTGTGTGTTTGTGTTTTGCTTGTACGACTGTCAACGCTCATTGCTCATACGCCCCGTGGCGACATGCGACAGTTGACCCACTGAGAAAACAGCAGCAGCAGCAGCAACCCATTGCGAGTACGAGTATCTGTATCTATGCGCGAATAGAAAATTATGTTTGACATTCTTTATGGCCAAATCATTTTCTGTTTTGTGTTCTGTTAAATGAAATCATTTGATGTTGTTGAACCATTCATACATACCATACATACAAATGTACGCATGCGTATTCATATATGGAAAAGGCACAATTAAATGTATTATTATTTAGAGTGAATTTATTAAGAGAATTAAAAAAAAAAAATAAAATAAAATAAATGGTTGATAAAATTGAACAAGTATGAAGTGAAATCAATTTCCCGTGACTGACTTTTCCCACTGCTCAAAATACATTTTCCATAAGCGATTTTAGCTGTTCCATTAAATAAGTAAATTCCCTTGTGCAGTTGATTATTGTAATCAATCAATCAACTGGTTAATCAATCCAAACAAATCTGGTTTCATTAAATGTAATTTAATGGTGTTGGTCACACCCACAAAAAGCCAGCTCCAGCTCCGATTTAAGCCTCGGCTTTAAGGTCGTTTCAGATAGCGATTTAAATCGCTCAACTCTTAAATGCTGCCGCCTTAAATACTTTTCGTATATGTACATGGCACATGGTATACTCGTATTATTTTCAAACAGCATCCCCTCCCATCCGTCCATCGCATTGTAGACCCGACAAAAAAAAACGCCTTACTTTTTGTTTGCATGTATTACGGTCTAAGCCCGTTAACACAAAGGCCAATTAATCTACAAACTGCAGCAAATTAGTCATAAACATTAAAATGCTAATTACATGCAATTTTTATGTACATTTTCGGTTGTTTCGCTAGTAATTTAATGGGGGTACAAACAAAAAGCCAACGCATTAGCCCCCAAACCGAACCCCGAGCCGGCCCCCCTGAAAAACACAAAACTGTGGCAAACATTATTCTCCAAGTTTAATTTTCAGTCATTCAAATTCCTGACCGTCGCGCCGGTAGCTTCAAATGTTGTTGCTGTGGCTGCTGTCATGTCAATTTTTGATTTATTTTTCCGTGTAATAGACGAGCTTTTTATACCCGTACTCAACGAGTTAAGGGGTAAATTACATTTGTGGTAAAAATGGATGTGTGTAACGCAGATAAGAAAACATTTCTGACCCCATTAAGTATATATATTCATGATCAGCATCAATAGCCGATTCGATATAGCCATGTTTATCTGTCCGTCTGTCCGTCAGCCACAATTTTATAGATACCAGAATCAGATCGGATCATATAGCCAGAGTAAAGAAATTAATTTGCAGTGGCTACCCGGCGCTGCTGACGCTACTTATTCTGTTTGTCGCTCGCACAAACTCTGCCCCATGCAGTGCGCATACACTGACTGAGTACAGGTATAAAAGTAGAGTCGCGTCCAAAGAAGCGACTCACACATTCCGTCTCGTTTTGTTTGTTGCCAGCTTAATTATGTATGTATGTATGTATGTGCGCCAAAGTGTCTCTCTCTATAGAGTATATACTATACAAATGCATGCATGTATTAGAGGAATATAATAAGCGAGTACGGAATAATCTATTTGATCTATTCCGACCTCTGCCTTGGTGTTGAATATGCATTTTTATACACCGTCTACTGGATAGGTGCTTTCGTACGGATCTTTTTGTGACAATCTGACTGAAAGATAGAGAGATTCTTGGCGAGGATACTTTTATGTTGGTTTCCAGAGGTTTCCAAAGACGATAATGATCCAATTTATTGCCAGCACTAAATCCTTAAGGCCTCTAACTTTCGAAGAACCGAAAAAAATTGCTATTAATATATCTTAAAGAAATGTAGATGAAAATATTTTATGCAATTCTTTGTAAATCGATAGACATCTGGAAAAACTATTCATTTTCCTGTGGGAAATATCGTAGTCTCTTATGGTAGAAATACAAAATTCCGTTATTAACGATTGAAGGGAAGAGCTTTCTTTGTGCCGCAAAATTGATGATGGCTTTTCATTCGTTATGAAAACATTGAGGACTAAGGACAATCGGAGGACAGTTATGTGTCGGTTTCGTTGTCATGGTCGCCCACACACACACACAAGCCTGTCTGTCGGTCGGTCGGTAAGTTGGCTAGGCCTCTGCTACTAGCATAGCATACATATTTCCTTATCTCACAAATTGTGTGTGCTAGTGTGTGTGAGTTTGTTGGGGCCCTTTTGTGTGCGTGCAAGTCTATTCTTCGCTCTTCTCTGCTCTCCTCCTCCTCCTTCTCTTATCAATTTGTTGTACCTTTGCCTTATTGAAAATTATTATAGAAATTCTATATGAAATATAAATATTTTCCAAGCACACAGACGCACACACTCACACACATACACACATCTTTATGTACATTTCCACTTGTGTGCGCCTGCCTTATCTAGTCAGAAAATCTGTAAAATAATATAATAGGTACATAGGTACATATGTATACAGGCATTTATTTACGAGTATTTGTTCACTCCAATTGAATCACATCTGAATCTCTTTGCTTTGCTCCACTCCACTTCACTCCACTCCACTCCACTCTCCCACTTGACTCCCGTTTTGCCTTCTGTCTGCCTTCAAGTATCTGCCCCTTACCCCCTCCTCCTCCCTCGCTGCCTACAATGGGCTGGAAAATGCCAATAAACGTACAAATACAAATAATATAACATCCAAAACTGTTTGCTTATCGTTGCTGTTAGCAGTTTCCATTTGCCTTTTGCTGCTGCTGTTTTTGGTTTCGTAATTTCCAGAGGCACGCGTTTGTGGAACACTTGAGGGAGCTCCTTATACTCCGCCTTTTCTGGTACTCGTAATTATCGTTTATTTAGTGCCCAAAACGACAACAAAGTAAATGCTTTTGATAGTGAGGATATGGGGTGTGCGATGCAATGAAAAACAATTGTTTAGCAGAGACAAAAATGCATATAAATATGTTTATTTTAGATCAGTTGAATTCTCTTTCGATATGGGACATCCATAGTTTTTATTGATAATTTTGGGACTGGGTTTCACAGAATAAAGAATATCCTTTATTTTCAGAGGTTGTTAAGTGGTTTTTTGTCTATATTTTTAATGATCTTTTGAGTATCGATTGCGTATATAACTTATTTCGAAACTCTGCTGCTGCTGCAGAGCCAACTCCTTCCACTTCAAGTGCATTCAATTCTTGTTTAATCTTTATTCTTTACAACGCAATCATTTATTTGTACCACTCGTATAATTGTTTACCATGGTTCAATATTTGTGGAACGCGTCGCTTGGCGGTATCTTTAAGTGTGACGTGGTAAGAGGAGGAAAAAGGCACAAAGTGCTGCAGAGGGTAGGGGGAGATTTTAATTTCCGTTTAGGGGATAAATGGAAGAGATCATTTGCTTAAACTTTTGGGTTTTTAATTAAGGTTAAAGACGGGCAATGCACGGGGCATAGACGGGGGATCTTCCCCCGCCACTCTGCCTGAATGCGTAGCTACAAAGATACCAACTTTCTCGCCATATTTGTGCAACATTCAAGGAGGATAGATTGGCTGATGGCTGCCATGTCTGCTGAGAGGCACTTTAGATGAATTTTTGCAAAATTTAATTAAAATTGCCAAAGCCATTAGGCATTAACTGCATTCTTCGGATCATGGCGGCAATTTTCAATTGATTTGATCTCTCAGTGCCGCTTTTGCAGTGGCAGTGGCAGTTGCAGTTGCAGATGCAGGCTATAAGATACAGATACATTCAGACTGACAACAGCTGCTGTTGCTGCTGACTGCTGCTGCCTGTTGCTGCTGACTGTTGCCTGAGGCCTGCGGCGGCTGAATGTCGATGATCGCATCGTTACTACAACACACACGGGAGGGGGTACGGACGGGGAGACTGCACCACAACACACGTCCAACATCTAATATCTCACATCCCCATCACATCATCGCTTTTGGAATAGATTTTCATTCTGTGTGTGGGTGGATGTGGGTGGCTACTGCCTTTGGGGCTACGACCAGAACTAGTTTATACAGCAATTTGCAATAACTCACATGAAAATCGCTTTCGATCTGGCTAATAAATCGAATTTATCATCAGATCACCCCCAGAGGCAGAGACACTGGCACTGGCACTTTTCGCCAATCGAAACATTGCCTGCAGCAAATATACGCTTATTTATGTATGTTTGTATGTATGCATGATAATTGGGCGCCGAGCGCGACCCCCTTGTTGGCCCGGCTTAGAGCCGGCTGAGCCATGTCCATCATTTCACGGATCTGGGCAACCGACAGGCGCGTCAGTTCTTTTGAATGTCGCCGCCTGTCGATTGAATGACTGACGGACGAACGGTCTGACTGAATCACTGCATTTGGCTATATGCATGAAGAGATACACTCAGAGAAAAAAAGCACTGATGCTCGTATATTAATATGAACACTTTAAATTTTAAAATTGATTTTAATTGTTTTTTGTCCTATATTTTTATTTCAAAACCAAATATTTTATTGAATTACGTGTGTTTTTATGTTTGGCATGCAATTTTTCTCACAGTGTATATAGCGTATCTATTCTGGCTGATTGGTTTATCGTGCCAAATTCAGGCGTGTCGCCTCAGGTCATATTACCTTAGCCATTTACCATTTGCAGTATATCTACGATAGATATATTGTAGTGCCCATTGTTGTAGCGGGTGACGATTCCAACCAACCTTCAACCGCAAACAGAAATGGAATCTGAAATGTGAATCTAACCAATTTTGACTTTGAATGGATTTGAATTTGATTTTATGCACTCGAAAGAGGTCTGTTTCCCTACCTCCCTCCCTCCCTCTCTTCCTCTCTGAGTCATGATCTGTGATCTGGTCTTCTAATGCGTTTTAAATTTGGCAAAAATAAAAACTAAAAAAAACTTTGAACTTAATTAGTTTCCGCTAATGATTTCCTCTCATATTAATTCTTCAACATTTCTGCTTCCATTTTCATTTCCATTTCAGTTCAATTTTGTCGGTCGCATTCTTGGACCACGCGGCATGACAGCCAAACAATTGGAGCAGGAGACTGGCTGCAAGATCATGGTCAGAGGCAAGGGATCCATGCGCGACAAGAAGAAGGTGAGTGCCAAAAAGTCATTATAGAATAGATAACATATTCATACCAGTAGTTTTAAGAGACCCTTGTAGAAAGAGGGATTATATCGTGAATTCCATTCACACATTGGCAGCGCACTTCAATTTCTATTTGAAATATCATAAATATTTCTGCCGAATAAACAACACGGGTATTACATTTCTGTTGACAGTCGGTTTCCGTGCCAAATCGGAATTTTACTTAATTGAAGGCAAAACAAAAAGAAGAGATTTCTCTCTCTCTCTCCCTTTTATGTATCTATATTTATGTATTGTGTATTTATGAATAGACGATGTGTCTATATATTTATATAGCTACATATTTACATATGTACGTCTATCTGTCTGTTAATCCGTATATCTAGATCTTGGAGACTACCGGACCAATTGCATTTTAATAATATGATGCCGAATGCTCATACCTTTCAACACAAGACAAAGTTTATTGGCTGACTTTTCCCTATACGAATTTCATGCCAGCCGAGAGCTTACAAGAGTACATGAGAGTCTTCTAAAGGATAAAGATAATAAAGAAAATATATTTGCCAATAATTAAATGATTCTAACACAAAGAGCAAAGAAAAAGCATAGAAACATATACTCGTATTCAACGTGAATATAAGTATAATTTCCATCCTTTCTCCTATGTATGCTAGAATGGGAGAAAAGGAGCAACCACTGCCAATAAGAGTGGTAGGACTTTTATTTGTTCGTGATTCCCAAATGAAACGAAATTCTAATTAGAGGGCATTTTAAAGTCTACACACTCGACAGACCTGAACGTACCCAAATAGAATATGCAAAATTCCTGTCAGTCAAAAAATTCTCTGATGATTTAATTTCCTCTGGCGGCAAAAAGCGAAAAATGCGAATATGAATCGAGTGACTCGAGACGATTAAATGTATTTTTGTAATTGTTAAATGTGGCGGGGTTTATGTGACAAGACAAACAGACAGATACAAAGACATCGCAGGCAGTCAGAAGAAAGAAAGAAAGAAAGGAAGACCGATAGACAGACAGAAAAACAGACGGGGAGAGAGAGTGAGAAACTGTTTAATTTCGTTGCAATATTTTGATAATTTAGTAGCAAATACGAAAGTGACGCCCACACGATTGTCTCTTAGTCACCGCCAAAACCCCCAAAGAGGAGACTTCACATTCATTCTCGTTGAGAAAATAAATGCCAACACAAAAACGAAAAGCGAGAAACGACAAACGAAAAGCAACAATTTCTGTTTACTGTGCATGCGGTGGCATTATATTTATTTTAGTGTAGAAATAGTCCCTGTTCCCAAAACAAAAATGCGACAACAACGGTAATATTAGTCATAGTCAGAGGCAAAGGTGTGAGATATCCCCCTGCCCTGTTGTTATTGTTTAGTTGAGTTTAGCCCGAGCTCCTGTCCCATTTTAATTTGACACGGGATATACTGGACCCTGGATGCTTGCTGACAGACCAGGCGCTGTCTGTCACTCCCCTTCTTCATTATTCTCTGGCTAATTTAAGGCTTAATTGCTTATAAATTGTGGGTCAAAAGTTGACAACGCTAGAGAGGTTTTTCTGCTTTTGTTTTTGTTTTTTCTGTTGCATATATTTCGAGTGAGCCAGCCAAGAATCGTCTCGCCATAAGTAATAACATCATCATCAGCAGAAGCAGCAGCAAAAGCCAAAAAACTTGAATTTGGTTTTTTTTCTTCCGAATTTACAGTGCATAAGTGGAACGACACGCCCACAATTAATTGTCCGCGCCCATTAGCACACATGCTGAAAGAACATTTAGTTTTTATAATTTTTTTTTTTTGCACTTAAACGTGGTCTCTGAACGAGAGCATCGAGAGTGTGAATGTGAAGATGGATTTACCTGAATGAAGATTATAACCTCAAAAGACATATTCGTAATTCTTTGCTCTATTCTATATTCTTATATGCATATTTTGTGCTTTATTTTTTCTTTCAGGAGGATGCCAATCGTGGCAAGCCCAATTGGGAGCATTTGTCCGATGACCTGCATGTCCTGATCACCGTCGAGGACACCGAGAACCGTGCCAAGGTCAAGCTGGCCCAGGCTGTAGGCGAAGTTCAAAAATTGCTTGTGCCGGTAAGTCGGAAATACCCTGAAAAAATTAAATTAAGGAAAACCCACTTTTCACAATGCAAGGCCAAAGAAAACTGACTGAGAACCAAACATAAAGAAAAGAACACATCAAATGGCTAATGTTTTGTTTAATGGAACCCAACCCTCTGCCTGTTAGCCCTTTCCCTTTTTAATGTTTAATTATTTCATAGCTAAAATTGAATGTTAACCAAAATATAATTAATAATGTATATTTTTCTCTCATCTTCTCTCCTTACCCCAAAAACAAAACAAAAATCTAATCCGCCATACTGCAACACATGCCACAAAATACACACACACACCAAAACACACAAACACAAAAAAAACCATTGACGTATCTGTACTAACAGCAAGCCGAAGGCGAAGACGAGCTCAAGAAACGCCAACTAATGGAATTGGCCATAATAAATGGCACCTATAGGGACACAACAGCGAAATCTGTCGCAGGTATGTTGAAAACAAAAGCCTCTCTCTATCTCTTTCTCTCTATCAATCAATCAATCAATCAATCGATCGAACTATCCGTAACAATCTCTCCGTAACCCCAAGATTTAGCCAATATAAAACAATTTCAATCCAGCTAATCGAATGTCTAACAAGAATGTCTAACAAAATTAACGAATAACGGACACCAGAACTCAAATCAAAAGTGAAAACCATAAGCGAAAGGCTCTCCCTCCCCGACTACGTCCCACTACGTCCAGCGTGACATAACCAACGTCTAACCATTAACGATAGACACACACTCGTATACGTGTATTATTATTATTATTGTTATAGTATATTGTATATGAATACCTGGATTACATTTAACTGATTTGAACTTTCTCCGAAATTTCTGTGTACGACGACGAACAGCTTTCTCATGCGTTGGCTCTCCCTCTGCTTCTGTTCTGTATCCCGCAGTTTGCGAAGAGGACTGGCGTCGTCTGGTGGCTGCATCCGACAATCGCCTGCTGACGCCCACCGGCCTGCCCGCTGGCTTGGCCGCACAGATACGTGCCCCATCATCGGCGCCGCTGGGCGCCCCATTGATACTGAATCCAAGGATGTCCGTGCCCACAACGGCGGCCAGCATATTGTCGCAAGCGCCGTCGGGTGCCTTCGATCAGAGCGGCCATCAAATGATCTTCGCCCCGTATGCAGATTATGCGAACTATGCGGCACTCGCTGGCAATCCTCTGCTCACGGAATATGCTGATCATAGCGGTGGGTTGTTTGCCAGATAATTTTACTACATACATATATCCTATACCCCACTCTCTCTCACTCAATCACTATCTCTCTCACTCTATCAAACTATCAATCTATAATCATATTATTTTATTTATTATGCGCCATAACTGTAGACACACACAATTAAGCCACCACACACAATAATCAACCATCACAAATGGGCAAAAATAAGGGGAACAAAAAAATATGCATTCAACCAAAAACCAAAAATAATTAGGAGGAAGTAACATAGAATCCGAAATATCATTGAAAGAGTTGCGAGCAATAATCAAAATATCACCCCCTAACACGATCTATAGAGATACACTCACATACAGACACACACATTACGCATACGCCAGGTTGGCCTCTTTATATCTCTCTCTTTCTATCTCTGTTTCTCCAGTTAACGTATTTGTTTGCCTTTGCTCTTAACACATCTCTTAGCACACAAAACCTAAAAACCTGAAATGCAATCGATTGAGTTCTGCTTTAAGCAGTCAACTCTAGTTAGTATTATTTTGGATGCTCTTTAATACACGCATTTTTATATAGTTTGATTAATTTGTTAATTGTCTTGTTTCGTCCACACACACACATACACATACAATTTGTATTGATAGCTATTTTGCATTTATTTTTGTTGTTAAGTGGAGGAACACAATACTGCAGAGAGTCATTTTAATATTCTTAAAGAATGAAGTTTGAAAGCCTCCCTTTGGTAGGCTTCACCTGATTGCCTACAATTTGCATATTTTTTTACATGTTCCTCCCTTCGAATTCGGTGACTATTAAAATAGTGTTTCAAGCAGAGCCATATATTCAAGAAGCCAAGCCAACATCTAGTCTTCATAGAGATTGCAGTTCAAGAATATCTCCTTCTAATCTAATCTTAATCTACCCCTGTTAGCGGTAGCCCTCCATCTACTATCTACTGAGTTTGATGCACCAACAAACACATTTCTGGATGATATTATACTATTATTATACCATTATATTATAATATTATGGACGAGACTTAAAATATAGAATGTCATCCGTGTACAGTCCATCCAATCCTGACAGCCAACGTCGATTCTACATGATTTCTACATCTACACAATGAATTCTGACCAACGCCCCAAAAGTAGGCAACATTTTTTTAAAATGCAGCCTTCTAAAATATTAATACATAGTAAAAAACAGGGTTCCGCAACAAAGGAGTAGATGAAGGTTTTGTTTTAAAACATCTTTAGCTTGTTTATGCTTTTAAATGTACTAAATTACGACTGGAATTTTCAATCAGTGCCATAAAGTTACTGTCTAAAACAAAATGTGTAGGAACAGTGCACGCTTTAACCCGTCTATTTGGGCATGGATGCTTTTAAAATATAAAACGATTATTATTTTATATAAATAATAATAATAACAACAACAACAAAAATAGAGAAAAACCCCATAGCTAACAGAACTAAAATGTTCGTTCATTATTTATTTTCCACCAAATAGAAATCAATATTTTATCTTAAACATTTTATATAAACTATTTTGTTACAAACATAAATATTTCCAGTTGGTCGATATATGCATGCCGGCTCCGTCTTTTGAACTTCTATCCCCCACTCTCTATTATTTTTCCCCCTGAGTAAAACAGAAATACCAACTCCAAACCAATCCAGAAATTGTTAGCTTAAAGTTTTTTTTATAGTTACAGTCACAAAATAGAGACTGTATTATATGCAAATTAATATATTTAGAGAACAAAAAGAGTAAAAAAAAACAGCACAACAACAACAACAAACAAATACTCAATGAAAAATAATTGAAGAAAGAGTTATAATTATTGCTCGTCAATGGGGTTTTTTCTCCTATAGTTAGTCGATAGGTTATATTACTATTTGGCGAAAATAAGTGATTTTTAGGCCCTTTAATTGTAGTTCTCTTTAATCAAATAGAGCTCTTATTTATCGAGTATTTATCCCCCATTTTACCCCAATTTGTTTTTGATATGAGTATATTCTAGTTGAGAACAGCAACCGCACAGCAGCAACAGCAGCAGAGTTGTTGATTCTTATTCATTTTTTTGTCTTGGAACCCTTGAGTATTTCAAATTTTTTTCGTAGAGAGTGGCCGACCGATTGAGTTGCAGAACTTTCAACCAAGTTGGCAGAGTTGCAAAATCTATTATCTATTATTATTATTAGAATTTTCTTTGTATGATTATAATATCATGCATGTATCTTTTGTGGTTTAAGGGTCCGTGTGTCGTAAGTGCAATTTTTAGTCTAGTGTTTTGTTTATTTTTTTTTTTTTGTAATTTTTATTGTTTGCATAGTTTTTTTATTTAGCGATGATGATGGGGTGGGACAGTATTTATGCACAAATGTACCTTACGTAGAAGAAAAATCGTAGAGAGAACCGTTTCAATTTTTTCCAGCCAGTGCCATTTGTCAGAATTGCAGCAGAGCTTTTGATAACTTATGACAAACCGTATGCAAAATGTAACTTAATCTATTGTCTTGTAAGAAAAGGAGCCTTGAATCAAGTTGGTGCTTAATTTAGATTTAAGTTTTAGTCGAGGCAGCCGTCCAGGAACACAGAAACAGCAACAGCAACAGAATCAGAAGTAGCACACAAATCAATCGCCAAGAATTGAATGCACAACTAGTCAGCAAATCGAGAAGATGAACAATATATAAACCAATATACTACAACACAAACAAAAAAAAAATATATATATATTTCTAGATTTAATCAAAAGAAGGAGGGAAACCATACACAGCAAAAATATATATTACTTCTAGAATTAAACACACAGAAGAAGGCAACTTTTTCCCCCCCATCCCCAGCCTTAGGCTAAGCGGCTTGAAAATCACTTATTTTGTGTCCAAGAAAACAAAACAAAACAAAAAACAATGATCAAAAAAACCACACACAAAACACACACAAACATATGAACGACTCATTCCAAAGAAGCAGAGAATTTAAATGTTACAAAGTAAAAACATAAACAAACGAAAAATGGAGAAAGATTTCCACCCCCCGAAAATTGGCAAAACAAAAAAAAATGTGTGAAATTAAATCAAAAAGGAGCAATCGTATGCAATATATTTATTAGTTCTAAGTTTTATGCTATATAGCGAATATGTTCACATCTATTTTATGCCTATATAATGCATATATACGTATATATATATATTTATTATCTGTATCTGTATCTACATGTATCGTATCGTATATTTTAGTAGGCGCCATTAAGCAGCAGCGTCGTTTGGCCGCTAACAGAGAGCACCCCTATCAGCGCGCAACAGTCGGTGTGCCAGCCAAGCCGGCGGGTTTCATTGAGATACAGTAAACAACACAACCAATAGAAAGCAAAAAAAAATTAAATAAATAATAACTTCAGAATTTTGTTTCGTTTTTAGCGAAACTTTAATCACAAAATTTATCAAACGATATCACGCACAAAACAAAAAAAAAATTAAAGAAAAAATAAAAGAAAAATTCGAAAATCAAACAACAGATATTCGAATTTGGTGGTTGTTGGGCCCTGATTGTGTTTGTAACCCAACAACCATGCAATTTAGATCAATTATTATAAACATTTGCTGTATTAATAACCACACATCGAGATGCCACTGTAGCCAATGAAACACCGCCGGAGCTGTTGGCCAGGCCAGGCTGCCGCTTTGCCCTGATCGGTCGTCACTCGAATCAAAAAAAAAAAAAACAATTGCCAATGGGCAAGTGCAAGTGCAAGTGGCACCGCCTCCACAGGTTAGTTGTGTTTTCCACTCATTTATTTTCTTTACCATATCAAACTGTTACTTTCTCTATATGTTATCCTTTTTTTACGCGGGGAATAAAATGCAAATGGCTTCTGTTCCGTTTTGCATTTTAGTCCGTAAATTTTGCGAGTTTTGACAACAACAAACAAAAAAAAAAAACATGTACAGACACACATGATGCTGCTGAAACGAAAAGTTGTTTATTTTTCTTAGATATGAATATTTAAACACACACACACACGCAATCTTTTTATATTGTATTTTTTTCCTTTGTTTCCACGTTGACTTGTGCCTTTGATGTTTTAGAAAAAAAGAAAAGAACAAAAAAAAAAAAAATTCAAAAAGAGAAAAGTTTTATGCAAAATCAGTAGACTGTAGTAGACTTTTCCCTTGTATTACTCTCGAATAAGCCATATACCATATATATATATATACATATATATACTCTTTATGAGATATGAATTTTACATGTGTATCCTAGGCAATAAGTCTTCCCTGTTTAGTCTGTAACGATTCTACGATTATTTTGTATTATGCGTTCGAATGTAAATGATGTTGCAATTGAACCGAAAACCCGAAAGTGTACCACAATAAAGATCAATGATTTTTGTTGAAATGCAAAACAAACAGATCAAAATAAAAAAGAAAATCTAAAAAAAAAAGCGAACACAACAAAAACAAAACAAAATCCATACCAAGTCTTATGATTCTTTTAATTGACTTCTTTCAGAAATTCTCCACGGAGAACAGAGATCTCTTCTCTCTCGAAAAACTTTCAACCAAAAAATCTAACGCTTTCCAAAAACTTAACCACCTCAAAAAAAAAATATTACAAAATCAAAAGTATTTATCTCGTAATCAGTCACACATAACTCATTGATCAGAATTAATAATACCAAAAAACCAAAAAACAAAAAAAAAACACCTTCACTTTGTTTGTTTGCAACTCTAGTAACTAAGAGAACTTAACGATAGATACGAAATACCACACATACCTATACATAAAACCCCTCACATAAAACAACACACACACACCAACACGTCCTCTGGGGCGCATAACTCTATGCTTACCACGATATCCACACCAGAACCCAGTCTGATCCGCATCCCCAGCCAGTCCCAGCCAGCCCACCTACTACTACCACCAAAAACATTACCAATGCCATGGCATATGCATATAAACTACATACTCGTACTCTTAATATATATATACAACACACACACACACATATATCCGAAAACCGATATGTGTATCTACATACGTGTACTTAACAGATTTACTCTCTAAGCTTATGGGTTTTGGTATCACAGTAATCTATATACATTTGCGATTAATTGTTCTCTTAGCTTAGTTATTTAATGATACATATTTAACTTGTATAACTCCATTTCTGATGAAATTGCACTTGCATTTGCTTACAAAACAAATTATATATGTACATATATAAAAATACGAATACAAATACTTATAATGCAAATAGGAAAAGGAAAGAAAATATTTGTTACTTCAACCATTTCATCGATTAATCGATTTCTCAAAGGTTAAAAATTTTAACAGTCGATAGCTCTTCTATCGAAATTTTTTAATACAATACAATAATACAATTTTTATATTCAATATTTTAACCATTTCGGTGGCTTACCGTACGTTTTTAAATGCCCACAAAACGATTGTACAATTGAGAAACAAAAAATAACAAATCAGCACCAAAAGATTTAAATCGGACTCTGCGCAACCCCCCTGCTCAAAAGATGAACGAATTATAGATTAAAACCTTTATTGTTTATTTATTAAATGTAAAAATTACCACAAACATGTAAATAACGCTTTCGTTTATATCATAATTATTCTTTTTTGGCATTTGTAAAAATGATAAAAATGTGAGCTAATGCACCTGCAATTTTATATACATACCACATAAAAAATATAATTATTTTTAATATTTATTTCCCTCAATAACTTATGTGATGAAAACTATATAGCGTATTAAACAAACAAAAAAAAAATACCAAGGTCTAGCCACAAAAACAAAAAAATATGTGATGTAATACTATTGCTAATTTTAACTAACCAAAGGCCAAGTTAACCAAAAAAACAAAAGAAAACTAGCTCAAAGAAATTCAATAATAATCTCAAAACAGAATCTTTCATGTTCTTGTAAATTCGAGTCTGAGAACGAACTTCAATAACCCTCAAATGTTGCATCAAATAACGTTTCAAAAAACAAAACAAAAAAAAACACGAATATATTATTGCACTATCAACAACTTTTCTATATATATAATTTTAATACAATCTTCTAATGATGTATGTGTTTGTCTTTACTATATCCAAGCAAATGTATTCCGCATCGTCTATATATATCCTAATTGAAGGATGCGGTTGATCATGAATGAGCAAAAAGTTACTAAACGTTTGTAAGCCATTAAACAAAAAAAGTGAACCACCTTCCATACTACATATGTACATATATACTCGTACAATATCTATATGCATGTGTATGTGTCCCCTCACTGATCATGTAATATGCTAAATACAATCCAGTTTGTTGGTTAATGTGCTGCAGCTGTCATTTGGTAACTTTTTGAGCCTCATAATTCGCATAACAAAGGATCTAGAGAGACTAAAAGTAACCGCTAACCATGAAATATTAATACTCAATTTCCACGTCTACGAATCTTTTTCTCTCTCTTTACATGCTAACTAAAACCAAAAATCCACACACATTCAAATCAAACAAAAATAATACAACAAACCTAAAACAAAAAAATACTATAAATAACAACAAAAAAAAAACCTTTAAAAAAAAAAAAAATAACGAACAAAATTTTAATATAAACAAAAATTTTTCCCAACAACACATAAACACACTCCCAACAACCATCCAATAAAACCATTTATGAACCCAAATAACAACAACGATCATCCCACAACCACAACGAACCCTGAACCATGAACCGCCACCGACTGCCTTAGATGAGCACGCAAGCAGAGCCACGCCACAGGGGAAAGTCAAAGCCAAAGCAACAGCAAAGCCAACCGGAATGCAGCAGCAGAAGCAAACAAAGCAATATGTGTGTGTGTGAGGCATGTGTTTGGGCCAGGCTAACACTGCAGTAACAAACGGCAACTAAAATCATGAAGCTCTGGCGTCGCCTGTTTCTGTAACTACTCGAAAATCTCTTCACTCACTTAGCAAACAAAAAATAGTACAGCATAAGCCGCAGCATCAGCAGCAGAAACAAAAACAGTATATATTGAATCTTGTGGCCATTAAACTGTTAGCAACAACAAAACCAACATGTAAGAAGAAACAATTAAGAAGAGAATCAAACATAGATTTTAGTATAATTAACATAATCAACAAAACAAAACAAAACACAACAAAACGAAAGGTTAGCTTTAAGTGAAACAAGAAAAGTTCAACGAACAAAAACATACTTAAATCATATATAAATATACAAAAATTTGTATATAGGGAAGTAGTAGGCCCGCCCCCGCCCCCCTTTCAAGAATCCTCAACAAGAAGAGCAGGAAAAAAAGGAACATCATCATGATAACGGAATCTCATTCAATTTTCTGTTTTAATTTTTTTTAAACCAATTTTTATAAAACAAAACCTATTTGTTGTTTCATGCGCAAGGCAAAGAAGAATCTTTTACTAGCTAATCGAAATTAGTTGTTCTTTACCCCCCAACCCCCACCCCCCATATTGTGTATCATTGCAAGATTTGTGGCAAGGAATCCGTACATAATTTACTCATCACGTTGAGTACGTATCGGATTTCTTGCCATAGCTATAGTAGTTCTATAAGCTTAAATTAAACAAAAATATTATAATTTTTTTGTTGTTAAACTGACGCAAATTCTTGTTGATGAAGTATTTTTTGATTATGATTATTTTATATATATCACACACCATATATTTTGGTATCCTCTGTCCCACTAAAATTGATTGTGTGAAAAGTGAAGTGGGAATGGAATCTACGGAGTAGCTGAAAAAAAAGCGAGCGATACAATTTGCATAATATCACATTAAAAACGTCTAACAGCCATATTTAGTTAATGAAAAATAACCATATTACGATAATTATGGTACGAGTAATAATATCAAGCATTCATAATATAATGTACAATTAAAAGCTACACTTAAATTATTTTAAATAATCTAAAGCTAATGTATTATATGCAGAAATAAAAACAAACAAAAAAACAAAAACAAAAACAAAGCGAGAAAAGCAAACAAATATTTTTTTGCTGTGACTCAAGAGCCCGAGAAGAGGCACCACAAAAAAGAATTCTTTGATTTAAAATAAACTTCCAGCTACAAAAAAAAAACGAGGTCTCCCAGGCACTGTTGAAGTAAACAAACACTCTTAAACTAAATGTAGCGCAGTTTTTTATATACAAACATATCTTAACGAATAGATGACAGATTAGCAGCGATAGCTACACGAACGAAAAGAAGCAAAGCGAATAAATTGCATTTAAATTATGGTACAAAGCACACAGCCAGCCAGCCCAAGCGAAACTTCTTGCAAAGAGTTCTATTTTAAATTGAAGAATTTTTGTTTGTTTTTTTTTGGAGAGGAAATGATTTCTCAAACTGTGCCTTAAATGACGTTCAAAAAATTGGCACCAATCAAAAAAAAAAAAAAAAAAAAACAACACATTTGAAATTATTCTGCAAATTGTAAGACTTTATACTCAACATCGATAAAAACATAAATATAGTATAATAATGAATCTACATACATATATACATAATAATAATAATAATATCTAATGATAGATAATAACGGCAATCGTGCAATTGTAGCAATTTCAAAATTCTCTTTGGCCTTGCTAATTGATGAAAGTTTCTCTCGATGATGATGATTGTGTTGCAAGGAAACGAATTAACATTAACAGATCCTATAACTGTAGATGAGTAAGCTCTCATTAACTGAATGTTGTGTCTCTTAGCACTCAAAATAACAATCAGCATAACATTGTTCATAAGCCAGCAGCAGACCGAAGAGGTCTGAGGTGCATGAATTAATTTCATCGATTAATTGTGGGAATCCATATGTTCAAAGCTTATCTATGAACATGCATACCAGATGCAAACATATATAATACGCGGATGTAATAAATCAAATAAATATAAATCTATATAATAATACATATATTTATGTACGATTATGTTTAACTTTTTGCATAAATAAATGTTTATAAAAAATCCGTGTGTCATCAATTGTATTTTTAATGAAAATATTTTCCTAAATAGTTATACTTGAGGGGGGGTACAAATAAATATGTTACGCAAAACTGATTGAGTGCATAAGCTTGTCAGTCAAACCATCATTGAGGGGTTGGAAATTCACGAAAATGGAAATTTATCACGGATTTAAGATGCTGCAAAATGACACAAAATAATTAATGCACACCTGATGTCCCCAAGTCGCATGTTGACATTGACAGATCTGTTGTCAGTACATACATACATACATGAATTTTTCACTTCATATTCGTGTGGCCTGCAGAATAATAAAATACCCAGTAGATCCAAAACAAAAGGGCTGCAGGCTCTGCTAGTCCGCAGGTTGCATGACGCAACATTTGGATAAGGGATTTATTGGGGCTTTTCTTTTAGGCATTATGGAGGAAAATACGGATGCTTCCGCCACTGAATTAAAATGTATTCCAATTTATTTCAGACATTCTGAAAATAGACAGAAAGGTCGCCCACCCCCATGAGCTACTCTTAAAGCGATGAAATTTATATTTCTATGCAACAGCTGCTTCTGGGAGCCGGAGGACATATTAAAAACTGGAAAAACAATAGAAATATTTGAAGTATTTGGCTCGGGATCAAGTATTTAATAGAAGTCTGCTCTATACTTAAATAATAAATAAAATAAAAATAAATCTACTTTTGTGCCTCCTTTATTTTGAATTTTATTTTATCTCCACTGAACAGCTATGCATGCTGGAGCACCTGTGCAAGGCCAGTTCAATAAAGAAAGGAATGCTTTAAAACCCCAAAAAAGAAAAACAAGCAAGCGTAGGTGAACATCATGAAGAATAATTTTATTTGAAATATACATTCAATGTAGCTTAACAGACTAGAGATAAACCAGTGTCGCTTTCCGACCCCGTGACCCACCCAAACATATCAACGAACCCCAAAAAACACCACAGAGGGACATCCAGAGAGAGAGAGAGAGAGACGGAGGTTGGTGGACTAGAAATGCTTGGCATTTTCATTTGGACAAATCAAGAGAAAAATAAATAAAAAAAACACTCAAGCTCAAACCAGCACACACACAAAACACCCACACCCACTGACCCATAAACCCATTACCCACAAGCCCACACACTCGTTCATTCATGCATTGGGAAGCTTTGATTTACGGCAGGAGTCGCACCACAAACAGAATCAGGATCAGGCTGAGCTGGTTGCCCAGCCAGTGGCTGGCCAGCCGCGTGGCTTGTCCGCAGATATTCTCGAGAATGGCGCAGTTCCTGAAGTGCTTTTCATCTGACAACATTTTGGCCGTTTCGCGGGCAAAGGCCGCTGAATGCTGGTAGCACTTGTGTCTCGCGCTGTTGTAGATGCAGTTCTCGTAGGCAAAGCGGGCACTGAAAGACGCACATATCGAATGCAATTTGCCAAAACCAGCCACACACACTTACCAACAGAACTCCATGAATTTGACGCTGGCATTTCGCGTCGCATCGTGCACCTCGTCACTGAGGATGCTCTCGAATTCGGATGTGCAGCTGACCCAGTCAAGTTGGATGTAGGCGAAGCAGTCCTTGTGCCTCAGGTAATCTGCAATGCCAACCAACAGAGAGTAGAGTGTGGCGGAGCCACCAACCATCAAATGAATAAATCATGTTGCTGGCCACTCAAAGTCCTGTCAAGTCGAAGGGTCCTTTGTTTGAACTTTGGCCGGGACTTAGCTGGATAATCTTACGCTTGTGTGCCTGATTGTATCTCAGTGTTGGCTATGCCTGGTGCTTGTAAAGCTCTGACATACCTCAGTTGTATCTGTGTGCCCTGGGCTTGCCTGGCTGTGCGGAGTGTGTGTGTGTTTTTTGCGTGTGAATGCTGTGGTATGCCTTTCTGTGTGTTTCGGTTTGAATATATGTCAAAGTGTGGCCTTTGGCCAAGTTTGTGCTGCACAAATTGATTTAATGCCATGGCAACTGTCACCGCATGTCGCTTACCTCGCTGAAAATCCTCATCGCCGCAGAATTTATAGAAAAATCGACGGGCACCCTCCACATTGATCTTAAAGGTTTCCAGCTTTCGGTCGTTTAGGCAGCGCTTCGAGTAGGCATCAAAGCATCGCATGCCCCGGTTGAAAATGCTGCAAAAAACATTCGGATAATTGAGTTAACTCTGCGTGTTTAATGGACGGCCCTCCCCAAGGAGTGCACTCGAGTGCACACAAAAGTAAGTCCCAAAAGTGTTTGACTCGTTGCAAGCCACAGTTCATAGATGCCTCGACATAGGATCATTTAGGATCCCATATTTTCTAATTGGAATTTAGGAATTCTTTCTGCTGGAAAATTTTGTCCTTCGCTTTAATCATCCAATAAATGAATTTGTATCTAGAACAATTCCGTCGAAGTTTGCCATGCAAACAAGTATCTCAAGCGGACAAAAATACGGAAAGTATGCAGCACCAATCAATCCACAATTTGGGAAATTCGGAACCGTCGATTTTAGCCGAAGTTTTAATAGTTTTTTTTCTTCTAATTTTTAACTTGGGTTAATCTTGAGTGGGACATAAATAATGCCTGAATGTATGCACACTTCCCCCTCTCGGAGTATCGCTTCCTGGGAGTGCATCTCACTCATACATAATTTACATGAACTTCTTGGGGGTAGCTGGTGTGCTGGGATGCTGACTTGCTTACTTGCACTTTGTCGTGATGTCGCTCTTGCTAATGATGATTTTGGTGCTCTGCAGGAACTCCATTAGATGCGGCGGCAAATCCTTGAAGCAATCATCCACCATTCGTTGCGTGCTGCCGCAGTCCTCCCTGCGAACGGCCGCTTGCAGGTTGGTCTCATTTTGGCCAAGTCCGCGAACCGCAGTATCCAAGAGCATGATGGAAAAACCAATCATAATGAGCATACAAGTGTTATTTACGCACATCTTTCTCGGACACTTGTTGCCAGGTTTCGGTAAGGAATAACAGGCTTGATGTGGGTCGGTCTCTGGGCTGCCGGGATAGTCAATCGAATGAAGTCTAGCAGCGAACTGTACCGGCCAGAAGCGTGCAGCATCCTTAAAAGGACTTCAATCTAATGTTAACTGAATGTTAGGTGCAGGCGCATGCGCATCGACGGACCCATAGCCAGCACGTGTTTCCTCGTTTGTTTACATTACGAAGGCAGGCGAGGAGTTCCTTTCCTCAATGCCAGACAGATAGGTAACGGCTCTTAGCAACGGAATCTCCATAAATTAAATATCTCTCTCTCTTTCTCTCTCTGTGGCATACACTAGTCGCCCATTTGGCCAAAGTTTCCAGTCAAATTCAACTGCTTGATTGTCCTTGTTCTTGTCTGCAGCTATCCTAATTGCATAGCAGAGAGCAGGCTTGTCCAGCTGCGCTGGTGTCATGTTAATTAAATCACCTTTATTGCCAGTTGTGTTCTACGTCCCACCATGCTCGTGTGACTTTTGTACATTTTTTTTTTACAATTTCCTTTGTTTGGGCTATTTTCTGATAAAAGTCATGTCCTAACCCTGACCCTGGTGTTGCTGGTTCTCTCTTTGCTTCTGTGCTGCCAATATGCATGCATACTCGTATTCCAAATGCATTAGACCAGAATCGTTATGTTTCTTCATTCGTTATGTTCATGGCTGCAGTTGGCCCTTTTTGGGAAAGTTTCGTAAAGGATAATTTAATCAAACAACCCTTAACCGAGACAAATATATTTGTTTTATTCCAAAAAGGATATATCATTTTATTCTATAAATCTGACATTCGTCATATTCCTCTAAAAGCCAGTCAACTAAAAATTTCCCTTTGAAAATGCGTATTTAGGCCATAATTTCAAAATTGCCGCACCCAACCGATAACCGCATATGTGCAACTCTACAGCTATCGAACGTTTTTGATTTTGGTATTTTGTTGCTGCAGCCCTGGCGAGTGACCGTTTATGGTATATTATTTCGGGATATTTTGAAGTATATTTCGGTATATTTCTGAGGGACAGACTGATAACTCCGCGGTCACACTGTTGCTAAATCGTACTGTCAAACGATTGATAGTTGATAGCTTTGAATGTTTTGAAAAAAACAATCGATACTATCATGATAGTATCGGGCAAAAAAATTATTAATTATTAATTTTTTTTTTTGTTATTTACTGGTTACTGGTTCTTGGTTTCTGAGGTTTCTGAGTTCACTCGAAAAAACAAATCAAGTGAAATATTTATTTTTCCAAATATTAAGACATTATTTCAAATTGACCGCCAAACTCAATTTAGCGCACCAAAAATACTGACATTTTTCGTTCTCAATTCGTGGAGAGTTTGCAAAATTTGCTCTCAATTCGTGGAGAGTGCTCTCTTTTCAGTGGAGAATAGAGTGTTTTTGTGGAGACTTTCCCCTCATTTTCGTGGTGTGGCAGCATGTTGCTGAAATTTTTCCCATACAAAATCAAATGTATCTTACGGGAACGCGTATGGAATGACGCAACAATGAATCTTTATTTCAGCAACATGGGGAAATGAATTAGCAGCATTGTTCTGCAACCTTGGATCGGAATGAGCAACAATATGCATACCTTGGGAAAATGGATATTATGGACTTGAGGTATTGTTTGTAATTTCAGGCTCCAATTAATGCAGAAACTACTCAGTCTCTGTTTTCAAGATAATAACGAAATTTGGCAGCTCACGGGTTCCAATAATAGGTATCAGAACCGGGATAAATGTATTTATAAAACACAAAACATATACATTAAGAGGTAAAAAACATGTCAATCTAGGATAAAATCATAAATAATGTTTCACTGGAGCTTGGAACAAAACTTTTCACACCCATTGAAAGAAATAAGGTATACAAAAGTACATACGCATAGAAGATACTTGGTTGACCAGCAACACTGACGTAACATTTAGTCAACATTTAAGTTTTATGCTTTGGCCGGTTTTGTTTGAACCTTAATATGTAAACAATCCAATGAAAAAGAGTTCTAAAAACTAACCAATCCTGAAGAAAATTTATGTATCTATCGGATAAAATTATTTGTTTACGGCTGAGAGGGCCAACTATCTAGTAATATTAAACTGAATATCAAAATTGTCGAATTTCATATCACAAAATATCACGGTATGGCAGCCCTCAGCAACTACGAATTGCACGAGTCTGGCAGCGCCACAAAACGACGACAAATTCGTTTTATGCTGGTTTTGTTTGAAACTTAATATGTAAAAAATCCAATAAAAAGGACTTCTGAAAACTTTACAAATTTGTCTTCGTATTTTATAGCAGCCAATCCAAACATATCAAAAGCGCAACGACTGTAGCTCGATAATATCATGATAGTCGCAAAACCGTCGATAGTAGAGACTAGCAGTAAAATATCGATACTATCGATAGTGCCCTCGATGGTTTGACACCTCTATTGCTCAATCATACTGTCAGCTGTTTTTTGAAAGAATTGAATAACAAAAAATTTCAAAACAGATAGATGATAGAACAGAAATAAATGGCGCTGCGAAGTATCAACAATCTGGAAATGTTCTTGAGGCGATGCACGGCACCCACGTTACACCGCTGCTGTGTGGCCAGCAGCAGAACAGCGCACACAGCTAGCAGCTGCAGCAGCAGCAAAGGCAGCGGCGACGACAATAACAAAGACGAGAAAAAATCCGGACAGAGGAAGTTCGGTTGGCGCAGTGTTCTGCGGTTCTGTGTGCCCTTCTCGCTGGGTGCCTTGGCCAGTGCTATGCTGATACAGTCGGACGACCTCACGCCAACGATCTCAGCCCGTTCGCTGAGCGGACGACGAAAGGAATTCAACTTCATTGCTGACGTGGTGGCCGGCTGTGGGGACTCCGTGGTGTACATCGAGATTAAGGACACGCGCCACTTTGACTACTTCAGTGGCCAGCCCATAACGGCGTCCAACGGATCGGGGTTCGTGATCGAGCAGAACGGCCTCATTCTGACCAATGCCCATGTGGTGATCAACAAGCCGCACACGATGGTGCAGGTGCGGCTGTCGGACGGACGCACCTTTCCCGCCACCATCGAGGACGTGGACCAGACCTCCGACCTGGCCACGCTGCGCATTCAGGTCAGCGGCCTGTCCGTGATGAGGCTCGGCAAGAGCAGCACCCTGCGGTCCGGCGAGTGGGTTGTGGCCTTGGGCAGCCCCCTGGCGCTGAGCAACACGGTTACCGCCGGCGTCATCAGTGCCACGCAGCGCGCCTCCCAGGAGCTGGGGCTGCGCAATCGCGACATCAACTACCTGCAGACGGACGCGGCCATTACGTTTGGCAACTCGGGAGGGCCGCTGGTGAATCTGGATGGCGAGGCCATTGGCGTCAACTCCATGAAGGTGACCGCTGGCATCAGCTTTGCCATACCCATCGACTATGTGAAGGTGTTCCTCGAGCGGGCCGCGGAGCGTCGCAAGAAGGGCTCCGCCTACAAAACGGGCTATCCTGTCAAGCGGTACATGGGCATCACCATGCTGACCCTCACTCCGGACATACTGTTCGAGCTGAAGTCCCGCAGCCAGAACATGCCCAGCAATCTCATGCACGGCGTGCTGGTCTGGAAGGTCATTGTCGGCTCACCGGCTCACAGGTGGGTCCATCCCAATCAAGCTTACGAATATCACTAATCTGTTGTCTGTTTCGTAGTGGCGGTCTGCAGCCAGGCGACATTGTCACTCACATTAACAAGAAGGAGATCAAGAACTCATCGGACGTTTACGATGCCCTGGCCGAAGGACGAAAAGATCTGGAAATTGTCATACTGAGAGGTGTGAAGCAAATGCACGTGAAAATCACACCAGAAGATCCCTAGAAGAGGATTATGCTGTGCTTCCAAGCCTTCCTAGCCTCCACTTACCAACCCACTGCTATTATTAGTTTTAGTTTAAATTTGACTTGATTGTGCTTAAGTGATTTGCCATATATACATATATGTACGAACCAAACTGAGCCTGAGTGTGTGTGTGTGTGTGTTGGCTGCGCCATCCTGGGAAAAAGGTTTGCTGTCTACGCATACCAGCCAGGCCCCCCCATATAGAGTCGCTTGACTATATTTGATTTTTCGGCTAACGAGTAAGGAAATTTGCATAGATCGAGCTCGTTATCATTGGCCATTTTGAATGGCAACACGACCATAAGTTAATCTACGCATCGTATGGCATAAATGTACATATCTCTGGTCCGTGAACATCATCGATTTCTCTTTCATGAGGAGTCCGCGCGCGGCTGAACGCCTGAACGTCTGAATCGCTGTGCGTGTCTCTGTTCCGACTCTCTGTCTTTCCAACAACGACAAAAATGTATTTACGCTAATTGAAATATCTCGCGTTGCGATCAATCGATGCCATATTTTTTATAGGCCAAACCTCGGACGGACAGCAATGCAACGGAACGACACGGAACTGCAGCGGCAGCGGCAGTGGCAGTGGCAGTGGCAGCGGTAGAGCCGACAACAGTCAACAGAGTCAACATCAGCCACGAAAACGTCGAAAATCGAAATGCAAATTTCAATAAATTTATGCAACTGTATTCCCAGCGCTTCGCCTGACCTGGCCTCAGTCTTTTTGATACCCTTGAACTGGATATTGTGACTACTGTGCAATGTTTGCAATGTAAATGGAAGGCCCCCAATATGCCCATAAAGTGTACAAATATAAGAACTTTACTTGAATAGCAAGGAATCCATAGAGGAAACCATTTTTTTATTTGCAGGAAAATGCTCCCAAGATCGCGGATAGGAATGATATTTTCCAAAAATCATTCTTTGCATCAAAATCGACTTTACTATATTTGATGCATATAGCTGTCATAGCTACACGGCTTTTGTTAGTGTATGTTAAGCTTCGGTCGCCGTGTTAACCTTTCCTTCCTGACTTTTTTTTTGTGGGTGACATGGCAGACGTTGCCAAGATGCCGACACTGATGTAGTTGCTGTTGCTGCTGCTGCTGTTGCTGTCGTTGCGTGAAAAGTGAAATTCTTCTGATTATTAATTTTATTTTCGCTTTTGGCGATGCTACGCTTTTTCAGCTTTTGCATATAAATTCATATATTGAATTCGGCTGGCCCATTCCCCATTGCCAATACCATTGTTGGAGTGGTTTATGCGACAGCGGCCTTTATGACATTGTTGGCACTAAGTTACCTTTATTGCTTATAAGCCGCACGCATAAATGCGCGGCTTAAAGTTCATAAATTTGCCAATATTCGGCCGCGCCGGGGTTAAGCAAACGGACCTTTTTATATACTCGCACTCTCGTACACTCGTCTGTAAAGAGACTTTTAACTTTATTTGCTGGCGCCCCACGCTTTTTGCACTTTCTTTCTGGCCATTTACAGGCATCCATTTCGCGTCGCCTCCATCCTCCATCCTCTATCCGCCTCGTTTCGTTGGCTTGTCCGCTGTCCGTGGTCGGGGTGTCTGTCTGTCGCTGTCTGTTGTCTGCTCACCTCTACGACAACTAATTGAAATATTTAAAATGCATAAAAGTATCGCATTTAAACTTTGCAATTAGTTTGTGGTGATCGCTGCCGCTGCTGCTGCCGCAGTTGTTTTTCTTTTTATTTCTTTTAGTTGTTGTTGCTAATGCAAAGGCTTTATGTGCTTGTTGTTGTTGTTGTGGCGCGCTTAAATTACAAACCTGTGAGAAATTTTGTTGCTTTTTTTTGTTGGTTTGTTTTTTATGTGCCACAGTTGATGCATACCCTCTAGGCATTTTCTATAAATGAAAAGCTTTAGATATCATTGCAAATAAAATGATCAGCAATTAAAAGAATGATCTGTGCAATACCGACAGCAGAAAAGGCATAGGATTGCTGAACCTATAGAATCGGAATTTATAAATGATGTGCAAGATTTATTTACTTTTGTACGCTTCATTTCCATTTAACACTCAATACTCTCGTTAGAGTAGCTAAACAATTGCTTAGGTTGGGTTTTATTTTATTATTCGCAAATATAAGTTTAAATTAAGATCCCACAGAGCTACCTTTGCGGTGAGCAGCACGATTCCGCTTGCTGCCTGCTGCTGCCTGTGCCGCCTGCCTGCAGTTTTGTGGCTAAGACCGATCATGTTCACACGCTCCGGCCATAAAGCAAGAGCTGGCTGTGGCCCAAACGGTGAGTGTTGATGTGAGTTTTGTCTGTGAACGGATTTGGCTCGATTTACACTTTCATAAAAGGCATCAATTAACGATGAGCTGTGGGGTGGATTTGGGTTTCGCACATCTCCATCAATTGTCCATCAATTGATGAGGGTCACCCGGAAAGCGATGAGGATTGATTGAGGCTTTCGATTGAGTTATTAAACGTGCTGTTAATTGCAGCACTTGGGCACAAAACGGCCAAGAGGCGTTTGTCGCGTTAACCCAGAAATGTCAGACATTGGATTTTGCACGTGTAATTATGGCTGTTGCTAGTTGCTAGTGCCTGTTGCCTGTCTGATGGTGACCCCATCACGTCGCTGGTACCCTGGCACCTACAACAACTTTCTCGTCCGCTGTTCCCATGAACTGCTCACATTTAAACATATCGGCAGGCAGGCGGCAAGGTGGCTAGGCGGCAGGCGCATTGGAAAACTGCATAGAGCATAGAGCAAGAGTTGCAACCCAACAACAACAACAACAACAACAACAGCATGCTAAACATTAAGGTTCATGACACACAACTGTAAAATGTTTCAGCCTCAAAAACTTTTACCGCCGATAATAAATGGCTGCGACTTTGCGCCCCCAAAAGTTCAAGACATCATTCGGTTCGGGGAATTCCCGCATGTGAAAAGTTCTCCTCTAAAAAGACGGACAGCATGGACATGGGCAACATGGGCCCACTCCATGGACAGGAAGTCGCAGTCGGAGTCGCAGTCGGATGGCTTAGATGAAAACGAAGCCAAGAGCATGAGCTTGCTCAGCTATTGGCCCGATGGCCAATGCCACGGGCCATAAATCATTTTAATATGCCAAAAGTTACATAATAATTCTGCCAGCATCATCATCATCATCGTCGTCGTCATCGTCATGATAATTGACAACTGAGCAGAGGCTTCAGGTACAGCATTAATCAAGAAATCAAAGAAAACTCTTGCAGTAGAAGTCGAGTCGAGTCGAGTCGATCCAATGTCGAGTCGATGGTGCACAGAAATGAAGTAATCGTTGGGTCAAAAAATGTCCAAATTGAAATGTGTTTTAATGTGCCGGTTTTATGTGGCGCACCAAATTGTTTCTACTGGTTAATGGACACGATCTGGGACTGGTGCTGGGACTGGTGCTGGGACTGGGACTCGTACTGTGCATTTGGGGCCTTGGGACCCCGCCTCGATTGCACTAAATCAACAGATTCATAAAAGAAAAAAAACAAAAAAACACGAAAAATTATGATGATTACGCGGAAATGTGTGGCCACTGGCCACTGGGCAAAAATGGGCTTTATGAAATTGCACAAGTGTTGGAAATTGCTGAATTATTGCATGGCTCTGGCATTGTATGTTTGTGGCCTGTCCTGCCCTGGCCTGGCCTGGCCTGGCACCCAGGTCGCCGCAGGGCCGCTGTGCACTTTTCATTTAACATTTTCGTTTTGGAAAATGTGTCCAACCAGAGTCGAAGTTGTGTCTGGCGCACGGACTGGCAGGGGGAGAGGGGGTGCAGCCAGTGGCCAGTGGACAGGCTTAGTGGGTCAGTTTACACATCTGGCTTTTGGCTTCGTTTTTGTAGTGTTGGTCAAATATTTGCGGGGCAGCGTAAAAAGTCATCATCATTAATAATCATGATGGAAAATTTCACCTGCCTGGAAAAGCGTTTTGCGTGCAGTGCCGCCGCCTTACCCGCTGCCTGTACTGGTGGACGGCTGCTGATGTTTTCTTTATTTAGGCAAATCCATCAATTACTTACGTTCGTTGTATAAGTCATTTGTTTGCCGCTCCCCCCTCGGCAGCATGGAAAACGACGCTCTCGAGCGTAACGAAAACTAGCTTCTAATCTAGCTCAGCAATCTAGCAGAGCCGCCGCTGATCAACTGGCAACTTTTCAATCTGTAGCCTCCCCCCCTCGCGGTTGATTGATTCGTCAGTGCTCGGCCCGTGACAATCCCACAAAGCCCAAGATTTATCTCCTCCAAATTCAATGTTTAAATGTCTGCTGACCATTTTCAGACAAATTATGCATAAAAATGAGACTCAATGAAATGATGTCATCCGTCTAATGTCTGATGACAGTCATTCAGTCGGTCGGTCAGTCAATGATGTGTGTTTTGGTTGCACTGGGCTAAGCGATAGCCGTTTCTAAAAGTTTCTACTGGATTACCGGAGAGCTCTCATCTCTCATGGCATGGCGTAGAAATCGGGCCACCTGAATCATTTAATTGTGGCGATTTTTCCACAAAATTGAAACATCTTCCGGCATGAGAGAGCCAAGACAAACGATGTGTGCCCCGAAATTAGTTTTTCGCATGCTGCTGACTGGCCTCGAGGCCTCGAGGCGTGAAAAGATTTTCGCATGCAAGGTGCGGCACACCGTCGACATCAGCAGCAGCGGCGGCAACATCAGCAGCAGCGGCAGCAGTAGCAGTGGCAGTGGCAGCAGCAGTAGCTGTGGCAACATTTGTGCCACTGGCAGCGCAGCAAGTGTTGCTCTAATTTATAAAATGTTTTTGCTACCAACACTCAATGAGTTGAATAATAAGTGAGAGTGATCGACTGGGGCATACCCAGGAATGCAGAAGAATTGAGGGATTGCTGGATAGCTGCTGGCAGAGCTCGAGAATGCTGCTAGCTCTGGGGTATGGGAGGGAGTTATTTCTGTTCAAATTGCAATTGAAGTTGCTGCTGCTCCTTTGGCTCTGGCTCTTACAAGTCCGGCTTGAAATTAGGTTAAAATATTCGCAATCTGAAGACATCCATTACGGAGCACTTTGCTAAATGCTGGGTATGTCCCCCACAAATTAATTGCCTTGCGGTTC